GCCTGTGCCGGACGTTCGTGTCTGACACTGGAGAGGAGAGTGAAATTCCTGGAGAAAATGCTGGAGGAAACTGCTGTTTTCCGACAAGACAGCTCCGAATCCAGCCAGACGGCTCAGTCCGACGAAGACGAGGATTCGGCGGTCGAAGCCCCCGCTGCTAGCTGGGCGGACCAGATGGAGCATGAGGTGGCCTCACCCGACATTGAGGGGGGCGAGACCCAGTTTCTACTGGATCTAAACCAAGAGGTGGACGATGTTCTGCAGATGGAGCAGGAGGTTCTCAGTCTGTCCGAAGACGACGAGGAGCCGTGCCCAGCTCACTCCACCCCCGCTGCTGAGAGGGTGGACCAGGATTCGTCCTTCTTGTCCCTGTGCCGCCGAGCTGCTGCTAAACTGGAGGTACAGTGGCCCAACCCCCCACCTGCTCAAAAGCCATCAAGGTTTGCAGGGTTTTATCTCCTGTCTGATGTGAAGCACCGTCTGCCTATGTTTCCGGACTTTGTGTCGGAGCTGACATCTTCCTGGAGCAAACTGCTGTCCATCCACGCCTTCGTGCCCGGACAGGGTCAGTACTTGGACGTGGAAGGGGCAGACCAAGCAGGCCTGGTGGGCATCCCTCAGATGGAGCCATCTTTAGCCACTTATTTGGCTCCGTCTCACAACTAGGGTGTGAGCGGGCCCACCCTGCTCCCTTCCAAGCCCTGCAGATTCTCCTCGGCACAGCTGGAGAAAATCTACAAAGCCACCAAACACCAAACACCGCCCGTGCGCTGAGCTCTGTCACCATGTGTCAGACCTACCAGGCCATGGCCTTGGCTGAACTGGCTGCTCAGATGCTGCAGGAAAAACCCCTTTTACCCCTGCTGAACGAGATCAGACTGGCGTCAGACCACATTCTGTGTGTGTCCCGCTGTGCAGCGCTGGCTCTGGGGAAAGGAATAGCCTCTACTGTGGTGGTGCAGAGGCACCTGTGGCTAACGCTCTCAGACGTTCCCAACAAGGACAGAGCGGCCTACTTGGATGAACCGATAACGCCTACAGGACTGTTTGGTCAAGCGCTTGACGTCATCCAAACCAAATTTGAACAGAGGAAGAAGCAGGCTGAGGCACTTCGCTGCATCATCCCCAGACGTGACGTGAGGCCCAAGGCCCCGAGCACATCCAGGTCTGTGTCTCATCCTCCTCCGTTCAAAAAGACGGCGACGCCCGGGACTTCAAAGACCCAGCCCGCCAAACCTTCCAGCAAGCCGCAGCCTCCACGTCATTCAGTTCAGTGCGCAATAGGAGATGTTTTAACATTTCTTCAGGAGCTACTGGACAAAGGGCTCTCCTTCTCCACATTAAAGTCTACTTAGCAGCCATTTCTACCTGCCATGTAGGTTTTGATGGAATCACACCTGGTGTTCATCCTTTAGCTGTGCGTTTTCTGAAAGGGGTTCGTAAGCTACGGCCTGCTATTAAACCCAGTATTCCCTCTTGGGACCTCACTGTGGTTCTTGAGGCTCTCTGCGACCCTCCATTTGAGCCCCTAGAGTCTGTAGAGTTGAAGTTTCTTTCATATAAAGTTGCTTTGCTTCTGGGTTTAGCTACAGCTAAACGGGTCGGGGACCTCCACGCTCTGTCAGTGAACCCCTCCTGTATCCAGTTTTCTACTAATGACTCTAAAGTGGTTTTGCACCCTAACTCTGCATGTCTTCCTAAGGTGATACCTTCTAGTTACAGCTCTATGTCTATAGAGCTTTCCAGCTTTCACCCCCTCCCCCCTTTTGCATCTGAGGAGCAAAAGAGGCTGCATCTTCTGTGCCCCGTACGTGCTCTACGCACTTACATCAGCCGCACACAGGATGTAAGGTCATGTGATCAGCTGTTTGTGGCTGTTGCTAACCCACACAGAGGTAAAGCTCTTTCTAGACAAAGACTCTCTGGATTGTAGAGGCCATCTTGCTAGCATACAGCAGCAAAAACCTTCCAATCCCTCTTGGAGTTAAAGCTCACTCCACCAGGGGTGTAGCGACATCTTGGGCCCTTTTTAAAGGGGTACCTGTGAGTGACATTTGTGCCGTGGCCAGCTGGGCCTCACCAAACACATTTGCACGATTTTACAGCCTGGATGTAACAGCMCCTTCGGTGGCTCATTCTGTACTTTCTGCCGGGTCCAAAGCTCTGCATTAGTACAGTACTTACTCAGACACACTACTTAACTCAGGTCTGATACAGTTCTGCGTGGTGCTTTGACAAGTCCCATATACAACTGTGTGTTGTACTGAGTGAAATGACTGAAAAGGAACGTAAGGTTATGAATATAACCACGGTTCCTTGCAGGAATGGAACGAAGTACAACACCTTGTTGGCCCCGCATCACAAAAGGCTCGGTGAAGGATGGTATCTAACTGAGTAATGACGCTGGTGACTCCGAACTTATAGGGTGAAGGCGGAGTCTGTCACCCGATGTTCAACGTCACCACGTCACCGGTCTAAAGACGTGATTAGAGGTGGCTTCAGCCAGGCGCGCGAGGGCGCACGTGTCCCATATACAACTGTGTGTTGTACTTCGTTCCATTCCTTCAAGGAACCGTGGTTATATTCATAACCTTACGTTTTCTTGTGGGTCCTATAGTACGGGGCCCATCGAGTTCAACAGGTTAACATTTCAGGAATGTGAAACTTTGTTAAGTATACATCCTTATTTATCATGACGTTATGTCTGGGGTGTGACTAGGTTTTCTCTAAATATTGTAAGGACGTGAACTGGGAGCCATTTTGTGCTCAGAGTGAAATGGTGTCTTAACTTATTGGTAATTGGTTTTCTGCACATTATTCGGGCTTCCAGTCTAAAAAAAAAATTTCACAGGATGTTCTTTGTAATTATGATATAAAAAGCGGAGGGCAAAATTAGTTTCCTCAAGGAATGCTTGTGTTTTAATTAGTTTGATTCTTCCTCAGGAACAGCCAGAAGCAGTGACTCCCACAACGGAGCTGGAGATTGACACCATGGACACGTTTTTAGAGAGGCTGCCATTAAGCAGCAAATTGACCAAGACTGAATCCCTTATCATTTCATCCAACAGGTACATTTACAGCTCAGAAAAAAATGGGAATTTACAGAACTGGAAATTATTTCCTATGATAAAAGTAATAGTAAACTATTATTGCCCACTAGCATAGGTGGAGTGACTGTTTGTTTTTTGTTTTTTTTGCCTTTTTTGTGTGCATTTGTCTGCAATGTACTGTTTGTACTGCAAAATATTTTCTAAATCATTGAACTGATTTTTATCAACATATCATTAAGGAATCATTAGATGCACATCTACAACTAATTAATTTCTGGTAACACCTTAACTGGGAGTACATCTGTTGATTTAGATTTGAATACAGAGCCTCAGAGAATTAGCAAGAGGTTTTAAATATAAATACCATGGTGTCAAAATAACTGTGCAAGGATTTTGATTGACACTTCTTTCGACCAACAGTGTTTCTTTGGTCTCTTCTATGGTCTAACTATTTACTAGTTATAGGCACAATAATTTTGGCTACTGGGGTTAAAAATTCAGAGCAACATGTTTACAGAGACCCAATTCTGCTTAGTCTTTATCATTTGCATTTGGTCAGAAGCCTCACATAAACAGTAAAACATGTGGAAGAACTTTTTCCCCGAAAAAAAAGAAGATTAGGCTGTCATTGACAACGGTGAAGAGATTTGTTCTTTGAATAATATATATTCAACATGACAGTAACATAAGGACAAACTGCTCTAAATCCTTTGACATTTTTAATTGTGCTAGTGCTTTCAACACTTTATTAACAATTGTTGTAAGCTACACCAAACAGTATTTAGTTTAAAAACAGGAGTTTGTGTTAAACAGTAAAGTTATTGCAGCTGACCCTGGTGCTGAAACCAGTAAGCTGAAAGTCTTTGAAATGTAAACATTCAAAGCTGCTGCAGTAAAGAAGACTTAAAGGCACAGTGTGTAGGATTTGTTGTTTTCAGCAACATCTAGTGGTTGAGTGGTTGAATCACCCCCCTGGTC